AAGACATCAAGAAACACATAAAATTTTCTACCACTTGAATCACTCATCTTCTGGCAAACTGCCAGCTCATTTTTTTTGACGAATTATGATAATTCTGCCGCACAATCATGGAAAAATTTCAGTTTTGAAGAATCACCGGAAGGAACTAAAAGAGAAGACCTGAATGTGTTGCGGTACGAGTTGATTGCAGCCTGTGTAATTTCGATGATTACTGGCTACATTCTGTTTGCTTGGAACCATATCTGGCGTAAGCCCATACGAACTAATTTACTGCACGTTATAAAATTCGCACTCATCGAAAACGACTATGCGAAGGTAAACTATTGACCAGTGCGTTATTTGGGGCTATGGCAAATGTGGGGGACGATTTTTCTTCGGTTGTTTACCCAGAATTACAAGTTAAAGTGTTATGTATGTTATCTTTTTCATCACGGGTCGAAATCTAAGTGATACTGATTTATATTCAAAAGAAAAATTTTTTTTTCAAACTTCCTAATGTCAGAGTCGCCAACAGGTTGATCACGTTAAACTAGGTAGCATTGGTCAGAGCAGATGAAAAATTCACCAGCCGCAAAGATGAGCGATAAAACTGTACTGTAGTTGATCAATTACCAAAGTATACTTTCGGAATATTTGGCAACTGCGAAATCGCTTACCCAGAATTACATGTTTAATGGTTTCGTTTTTTACGACCCTGTACTGATGATGGACAGAGAGGCGCGTTAAAATTTCATTGATGCTGATGGATTTATTTTTAATAGGAGCATTTTATGAATGAATTTTTTTGTACTCCCAAATTTCGGGATCATTAGGAGATGGTGTCCACCAATCGATGCAGCACTGGTCAAAACAACTGCAGAAGTACCATAGTCATCACTCTGAATTGCATCCGGTCAAAATACTAAAGCAATTATGATTATAATATGGATATCTTTCTGCAAAGATTTGTAGATATCTCCTGCAAGCAGAAAATAATGATTTTTGTAAAATAATAAAAATAATTTATGCAGGAGATAAACGCCATTCAACAGCAATTTCAATGTTGCGGAGTTTCGCTGAATGGTGCGGAACCGCAACAGTTTTGGCTTGATAACATGCAATCCGATCCAGCATTCAGACAGGATTTATACGGGTTAACATATTTACTTTGTTAATTGAATTGCACACAGTTCATCATCCGATTCTCCAACTACACAGGTTAACTTTTCTAGTTGCTTTGACCAATACTACATCGCCTTGTGGTCAGTCTGCTAGTGATTCAGACGTTTTTTTCGTCTTCTGAAAGGGTTACTAGCCCAACTGTTCTCCCTGTAAAAGCACACAGCAAAATTCTGGTTATTTATTCATATGCGTTGCGTTAAGCATATGCTTTCTCGATAATACCGCTCAAATCAGATTTCTTCTTATACAAGACTAATGAATATATGTAATTCTTCGAACTGAGAATATTCGTCAGCCCTTTGTACGAAAATTATATGCCAGGAGTACTAAGACCACCAGAGCTGTTACTATGGGTATCTTCTGATGTCAGTGATGTTACTGGAATGCTTCCTACAAACCGGGCGCAAGGATCTGTGTCAGCTCCCTCGATCTTGGGCTGTATATACCTCCAGTTAGGATTCACAAATATCAAATATTTCATGTTATTCTGCTACTCACGATTTGTCATGTTTAAAATTAATTCCAGCATTCAAGGCTCGTTACCATGGTCATGTTGCCGCTCCAAACATAATTCCATATCCTGTGAACATCTGGATTTTCGGCGATTCAAAAGAGTGCTAAACGAAACAAATTTTGAACGGCTTCGCAGTTATGCGGCTCAATTTAAGCAACACTGGGTAATCACTGGAACTCAGTTATCATGGATAAAGTAAATATAATTATAAATAAAGCGCAAGATGGATAAAGTAAATATAATAAACGAAGTATTGTGCTGTTTTCATTATCGCATTTATTCTCGACACTAGTGTGGCTGACAGCTTCTCCATTCTTCTCTGTTTTGAACCTATCTCATCAGGATAATTCATTTAGCTTTTTAAGCGGATGTTTATATCGCATTAGCGGCATTTCTTGTGTTCTTTTAACATGCATTATAGCTTGTTTTAGACACAAAACATACTGAAGAAAAAAAATACAAATTTCAGTATAATATCGTTGTTTTCACATCTTTTTCGCTTTTTTTTTAGTTTTTCCAGTTTTCGCTCAAAACGTTTCATACAAAGAATAGCAGGACTGTTCTTGTTAGTGATGTTACTAGGATGCTCCCACACGCCGAACACATTTGTGTCAGGCCCTTCGCTCCTCAGCTGCATGCTTCCAGTTAGTACCCACCGCCTGTTCGATGTAGATACATCATTTCTCCAGGGATTGCCCAAGTGGCCGCTTATTAAGGCATTTTATATATAAAAACGAGGCGCAGATTTGGGTATATTATGAAATGTTACAGGGATGTTTTTCGCTCGAGGATTGCAAGCGGAAAAAAGCACTGGCACTACATTCGGTGTACAGCGACGATTGTGCTAAAGCATTTCATCGCACCTTTAAATTCGAGTTTTTTTATCTCAACGCTGCCATGTCGTATGCAGTAGGTAAGTAGTGCACAGAAATTTATTAATCTGCTACATTTGGTCAGTTTTTACCTCATATCCTCTACAGTTTCCACTTTCAGACCACACACACTTTATCCCTAGTGATAATGGGCATAGATCCACTTTCACTGTAGTTATAGCGATTATATCAGCAACAACAACTGTAGCGAACGGAACCCTTTCTCGAAGATCGTTCTGGAAACAAAGGGAATTGATCCACTGCTTTTCGTACCCGGACGCAAAGTGCTACCACTACACCATTGGTCCTTACGCTCCACATAATTTGGAGCCCACATACATGTATATGCTGTATGCCTAATTGCATAAACATACTTTTTTTTTGTCGGCTTTTCGCAGGACTTCCGCGACATCAGCTATTCAGAGTGATATTCTTCTTCGGGGGAAGAGAACCAGCAATAGCCTTGCTGCTCTGGTGGTTGATTTTGGTAGGTGCTACCATTTTTTTTCTGGCTGCGTCCCTTTCTCAGAGAATGTAAATTGTGGGGATAGGAGATAAAGGATCAGTCTAAGTATCATGCGCAAGACGACATTTTTGGACACATTCTGTGTTTCATCTCTAAGCTGTAAACACAAATCAAACGCAGTATAGAGTTAAGAGTAGGAATCGTCAACACAGTAT